TTAACGACTTGGTTCCTTCTTATCTACCTCCCTGAAGGGATCTCATAGACAAGATTCCTGGCTTGTGTCCTCTCTGCTTATGTGCCTACTTCATCTTTAGGTTATGGCAGCTTCAGCCTAGTCTCACAGTTTCCATGCTCAAGGGAAAAGCTCTATGGAATAGCTCCTTCTTCCTGAATATTGGCTGGGGGTGGGTATGGGAAGCCTGATGTCTCTGTAGCCCAAAAAGGCTCTGGAATGCCTTTCAGAAAGAAGCATTTACACCCAGAAGTCTCCAAATCAGGATCCTTGGTACAAGCACAGGGTCTTTAATGATGAATGCTGTCCTATTCCCCCAACCTCAGCCTGGCTTCGAAGTTGCTGATGAACCCAAAGTGTGGGAGGAGCAGATCTCTAATAGGGCGACATTGTCCTCACTGAACTGGGTCTTGGTAATGCATGCTAGGTCTGCCTGTTGATCCACTACTAAATTACGTATGAATGTGGTCTTATTGCAGATAAACCTGGTGTTTATTATTGGCACCTTGAAATTGCTTTATCTGTGATCAGAAGAGAATAAGGGATTTGTAAAATGAATTGGATTTGGTCTGTCTTTTTTTTTTTTTTGGTCTCAGTATACTTTTGAATAGTTCTGAAGAGCTTGGTTTCCTTTCTGGTAGGGAGATCTGAAGCAGTTCCTGAGGATTTCCAGGACTAAAGATGAGAACCTCAAGCCGCAGCCCATTAGCACAAAACAGAAGGTAAAGTGGTACAACTGAAGAATTAGTAGTATCTGAATGTAAAGAAGGCTCTAATTGTGGAGAAAGGAGTAAGTAATTCTCTTCTAAAGGAGTAAGTTAGTTTCAAAGAGCCAGTAATTATATCATCCAACTCGGTGTGGCATTCAGGGTGCTATTCAGGTGCCTTATCTTCTGATGTTGTTGTTATAGTTATTTAAAAACAGGCTTGCATGTTGAATTTTTCTATGGAATGTTGTTTGCAGGTAGATTCTGGCTAATTTTAGATCATGAATAGACAATTTGCAGGCCATTGTGGCTCTTGATGATCTGTTCTACAACCATCTACCAGTGACCTAAGATTTATTTATTTCTGTATTCATTTATTTAAAATAATTGTATGGCTGCCCATCTGAGAGCACAACTCTGGGCAGCTCACAACAATAATACAATTACGAACCACAGAAACCAAGGGCAGCCCCAGGTACAGCATGTCACAGTAATCTATTTGGGAAGTGACCAGGGCATGAATGACTGAGAATAGAGCCTCCCAGTCCAGGAATGGGCACAACTGGCATGCAACATGAAGTTACGCAGAGACTCTCCTGGCTGTGTCTGCCACCTGCTCTTTGAGCAGGAGTCATGAATCCAGGAGGACCCCCAGATTGCACATTTAATTACATTTAATCAATTAATTTTAATTGTAATTTAATTACAATTACAGTTCTTTTTCCTAACTTTCATGTGGAGGAGAGATGCATTTGGAATACCTTTAAAGTAAAAGAAGAAAATGTATGTATGGTCTGAAGTACTCAGTTGAATAGATTTGCTTCAGGTCTAAAGTATCAGTCTGCAGAGACAGAGGATGTTAAAAGGAATATTAGACTGGAGTTAATATTTCATTTATGTGTGTCCTTTTTAAATTGGCCCAGCCAGGAGGGGCAACTTTTGCATGTACCAGAGCCACAGTTAACATTTGGGGGAATCTTGGGCTTCAGTAGATGGAACTAGCTTTTTCTTGGTTTAGAGACAAACTTCCTGTTTTTAAAACTCTGTTGAACCTCATGTACTACAGTTTTGTTTCCTGCCTCAAAATGGTGAGGAATTATGCCACCAGCTTTCAGTAATATTGGTCAGAGGAGGCTCCAGGGGCTGCAAAGAAGGGACTGTGGGGCTACTTGTAGCAGTAGCGTAATGGGTTAATCATTCCTGTTCTAATAAGTTTTGCAGGCTAGGAAATGACAACTAATGATAACTACCTCCCTTTATTCTTCCTCTTCCAGGACAGTTCAGAGAATGCTTAGCTTCAGTTAGGATGCTTAGCCATGCTTTTATGTATCTGGTGTTTTTCAGTTATCTTTCTGCTGCCAAGTGGCACTGGGGATGGAACATCTCTCTAATAGCAGATTTGTTCACAAAGATTTGGCGGCTCGGAACTGCCTGGTCAGTGCACAAAGGCAGGTGAAGGTGGCAAACCTAAGTCTCAGCAAGGATGTTTACAACAGGTAAGATTGCTGTAGATCCCTCTCAGTGGATGCTCCAAAGGCAGGGTTTGGGAGGTTTGGGGCAGAGCTGATTCCTCCTTTGTTTCTCTGTGTTCAGCGAATACTATCACTACCACCAAGCCTGGATTCCACTTCGTTGGATGCCCCCTGAAGCCGTCTTGGAGGATGAATTCTCCACAAAATCTGATGTGTGGTCCTTCGGGGTCGTCATGTGGGAGATATTTACATTGGGGGAATTGCCATATTCATCACTAGTGAATGAAGAGGTGTTAGCAGGTATATCAACCCTTATCAAGCCTGTTTCCTTATGTAGTGAAATGTATATAGTTTGGAACTATCACTGGGCTGTTGCAAAACAGCTTCTTTACTAAATGATCAGCCTACTATAAAAGAGAGGAAGGAAGGAGGGGTTCAGTCTGCTGTTCACGTCTGTTTCAGATGATGATTAAGGCTGTAATACTAAGTTGACTGAGTTATTAATAAAAATGCTTGAAATCAATCAGATACATTTAATTGGTCCTCCCATTCTTATTTTTAATATAAATACTTATTAAAAACTGTAAATAAGAAAAGAAAAAAAAATCCTGTAAGTTGCAAGCATGGTCTGGAATGGCATCCCTTCCTGAATGTGGGAGAAGAGCTGTGCCTTCTCTAAGATGATGCCTAGATCAACATTTGCTTACATCTTCTATTAAAAAGGGTGCCTTGTTTCCTTATATCCATTTCTTTTCTCAGATACACATTTAATTAGAGTGATAGTCCTCATAATTACACTTAAAACCTGCAGGTTTAATTAGGTATTATTAGCATACTTTCAAGTTCAAGTCCTATTTTAATTATTTTTGGATAAAATAGGAAATTCTTTGATGATAAATTTTGTTGCATATATCATGTGATACATTTTTATGTGTAAAATAATATTTATACAGTTGGTTTTCAGTCATTATAGCTCTGAGAGGATTAGTCTTAATTTTTAAAAAAGGAAAAGTACAGCTGGTCTTAATTAGGATGGGGAAAGCTTCTAAATAGGGAACAAACAGTAAAACATATATAATTGCAACTGCAAAAGTTCAGTGTTTTGCTCATAGAATATTCCAATTAGTAGCACAATGGATATACATAACACCCAAATTTTCTTTATTCGCATTTCAAAAGTCAAACCCAGTTTAGCCAAATAACCTAGCTTCATGTTATTTTTTCCCAACAGAAACAGTTTTGTGTGTTTGGGAGGTGCTGTAGCAGTGTATGTGATCTTACTCACATTTCCCTAGAATAAAGCCTAAGTGGTAAAATAAAACATCTTTTAGTATGGAAAATGATATAACAACCAAAAAAACATTGTGCTATAAGAAATGGAGCTACAGATCAGGGAGCTCCTAATTCTAATCTCAGCTTTTGCTGTAAACTCGCTGGGTGATCTTTGTCAAGATTCTTTCTCCCCCACCTCTCACAACCCATTAGCAGCTTATTCTATTTGTAATGCTGGGGTGGGGTGGGGGGAATATTATAACAAGATAACATGTATAAAGATTATTTATGGAAATTCAAAAGTACTGTTTAAATGTGAAATATTCTATAGTAGTCCATGATACTTAATCATTATTGGATCTCTTTGACAGTGTTCAATAATCTGATGTCAATGGGAGGGTTAGGGAAAAAAAGTAAGTCAGCCAGAGAAAAAAAGTTGAACTGTTATAAGCCTCTGTCTTCATGAGTTTGTCACTTGAGAGAGCTGGTACAGAACTACAGCTGATTAATAAACAAATCTGTGAAAGCTCTGTATTGCTGCCAAAGCAAGCAAGCAAGTCGTACATATCCATATTGAATTATTTGTATATTGTATTTTTAAAAAAGAGTTGGTTTGTGTCCTTGCTTCAGGGCATTAAAGATTGCAATAACTGGGAATGAATTATTCCAGAATCAGGCCATGAAAGCCATTAATGTTGTCACTCAAAACTTGTTTATGTAATCCACTATGAATGACAAAAAAGTCTGGACTGTATGAAAGACTAATAAATTCAGGTTGGATGATACTTGAAAACTAACGCAAAATGTAACAGCTACTTCTCTGTGGGAACTGTTTCCCATAGGTGAATAGCAGTACCTCCTTGCAGAACAGTAGGGATTTTTCCCATGGTTGGAATAACTGAAATCAGATTCAGCTTGGAAAAAGGCTGATGTGCAACTACTGCAGCTGGACACACCATTTATCCTGGCTCTTAATACTGGTGAAGGAAACAAGTTCAGCTTACTGAACCTTACTGGACAATTGTGTGGTTGTTATACTTATTTCAGCCATCTCTTAAATACAGTTTCAGCCAGGATGGAGAAGGGGAAGATGAATGGGATGGGATTGGAAGAGAGAGTTGGCTGACAGATAGTTTAATTCCTCTTATCAATTTGATTTGACAAGCCTTCCAAAATACCCAGCAGATCTACACTATTATACAGAAGATGGAAATTTTACAAACCAAAAATTATCACAGGACCTAAACTACTGCTTGACAGCAAATAATTAGGAGCTGTACTGTTCCTGGAAAGTTCATAGCTTAGCTGCTCTAGTACGTGTATCCTAGAGAAAACTGGGACAACAGTCTTCCCTTTCTTACCCTCTGCTTTCTTTTTCTCTGTTTAGGTTTACAGTCTGGGAAGATGAAGCTTCCCCATCCGGAGGGTTGTCCCTCCAAATGTTACAAGGCGATGCAGCGCTGTTGGGCTCTAAGCCCAAAGGACCGCCCATCTTTCAGTGAGATTGCTAACATGCTTGGAGAAAGCCCATCAGAAAGCAAGGCCTGAGCAGGAAATGCCAGCCTTGTTCAGAGGTTGGGCTGGGCTGAAATCTCATTTTGGCATTTTGACTGTTACAGATTTTCAATGGGACCTAACAAGCAAAAGGGACCAAGAATTTTTACACTAGTGGACAAAGGCTGTGGATGTTTTCTTGATCTGAGCTGTCTTCACCAGGCTCTGTCCTCTGTGCCTGGCCAGGTTGCATTCCTCCAGGGTCTACCTCTGACATCCACAGGACTAGTTAAAAACATCTTAGAGATGAAGGGAATGCTGGGAGCTACCATCATAAGATAATTTCACAAGGAAAGCCTGTCGCACATTTTTGGGACTTCTCTGTCTTGGCACATTTAACCTTTTATTTACTTTTCAAATCTTTTCACAGAAAAGCACAGACAGGTTCCTTCTGGAAAAGGGTCTTGGTTTGTGGGGGAGGGCACACAGAGAGATCCATGCTGCTCAGTCGTTAATATTTTTTGGCAGGAGGCATTAAGATGGCAACAGGGAAAACTAAACTTGAAAAGGCCTGTTGTCGCTTCTATAATTTCTGCAGTATATGGACAGATTTACCTTGTAAAGCAGGCAAAAGGAGTGCTATGTACAATAGCAGCCCTTTCCCAAGCTAACCTAATTTTTGATCCTGCAATCTTTTCTCACTTGACTTGAATCAGAAAGGTCTGGATCGCAATTATTTTTTATCTTAAAGATATCCCGTGACTTTTCCTTGATCATATCCCTGCAAAAGGAAGCAGCCTTTGGGGGAAGCATTCACTGCACAGGATCTAAGGAGGTTCCTTTCCTAGTCCACCATATGCTATCTTTTTAAAGCAAGGAGGAACCTGCATATTTATTGAGCAATACTTTATTTCTCCTCCTGGTACTGTCAGTCTGTCGGGCCTTCTGTCACCTCCCTGCATACCCAGAAAAGAGCAACATACACTAAGTGCCTGGCATATGAAGGAGATTTTCATTAGCTTTCCTGATTATCTAATGCCGCCTTTTTATATGATTATTTGGGGCAATGTTTGTTTTTCTTACTTTTTTAAAGAAATGTTGACACCTTGCAGCCTAAATAATTCTTTCTATATATATATATATATATATATTATTGGAATTGCAGCCTAGAGTCAATTTAGCTTCAGTTTGCTTGAGCAGAGGGGTAGAACAACCAAGAGGTTTTTTTTTAATAAAATAAAGTACACTGCTTGCAATAAAGAGTCCCTCTTAAAAAAATTAAAATAAATAAATTGCAATCTGTGTTTCTTCTTCTGTTTCTCTAGATTAATAAAACCATCTAAAAAGGAATTTTCTGGGGATTGTGGGACACAAGATACAAATGTTATCATATTAAGCTTGCATGTACAGTCATAAATAGAAAAAATTTTCTTCATACCCTTTTGAAATGCTTTTCATCATTGAACTTATCTCATTTTTTTCATTACCTGGGTTGATTCATGCATAATGCTATGTCATAGTGAATAGAAAACAACCCCAGCTCATTATGGCTGAGCATTATTTGTGAACTGAGCAGTTGTTTCTAGACTCCGTTAAATTTGGGTCTTTAGTCCAGACCATGATACTCTTGAGATATAGCATGTCAGTTTCTTCACATGGCATATTCTCCCAATCCTGATTTAATGATTTAATATTCAGCAGGAGTCTTCCAAGTCTTCCAAAGACAGGCTGATTCCATTACATCTCTTTCCCAGTACATCATCATGGTTAATGTAACAAACTCAAACATCATTTGTTTGAATGAGAGCTGTAATCTAAAAAATCAGCTTTCTGTTTTGTATTTAATAACTTGGAAATATGCCACATAGCACTGAATACTATATTGCATAAAAAATGTTTTAGAATTTAATTCTGAAGTAAAAATTGGAAGCAAGCTCAAGTGATACAACCAACTCCTATGCTTTTTCTATTGCAACGCCAACATTATTTGTGAATTGAGATAAACCTTGAGATATGATAAGGCCAAGTGACATGGAAAATTACTTTAGCCATTGTCTGTTACTGAAGTATAAGATATATACATGACCATATTTTCTTGGAAAAAATAAAGGACAAATTGCTCCTTGAAAAAGGAGCAAATTTGAAAGAGGTTCATAAGGATAAAAAAAAATGTTTATAACTGCTCTACAAAGGAAAATTCAAGAGCAAAATGGAAAAACTTTACAAACATGCATATTCTAATAAAAATATCTCAAATAGTATATGTACTTCTATTTTAAAAAGACAATTCAATTTCCATATTTTTCACATGAATGTGAAAGACTGTATTGTGGTACCATTTGTATGGTAGAAGTTAAATGACCAAAATAAAGAACAAAAGTGAGTTTTTGAAAAACAAATCTAAAGGACAGCTTTCTGAAATAAAGGACCTTCTTTTATAATAAAGGATGTATGGTCACTGTAAATATCTAGGAATTATATTTCAAAATAAAACAAAAAACAAATACTATATGTTATAAAAGTGTCACCTGCAATGTCTGAAGATTACCCAGCAGGACTGCATAAGTAGTTAATATTTATATGCTGTGTTACCATTTAAAAGCATGTAAGCACACACTCCAACACACTCCATGTCCATTAGAATAAAAGAAATGGCTGTTACAAGGTCTCTGTTAAACAGATTCCTTCAGCTCTTTGTAGTCCCTGTCTAAGTACGTGCACAGGATTCTGCTCTTGCACAGACCTTTCCAGAACCTAAACCCAAGATAGCAGCCCTTTGGAGTCTTATACTCAAAAGCTCAGTTGCCTGTCGTCATCGTCTTCTCTTTTTTGGCCATGGCGGCAGCTATTTCCAGGTTTTCTTTTAGTGAGATTATTTTCTCTCTTGTGTTGCTGTTGTTTATTTCACTATTCCATCCACAAACACACAGCCTACTGCATTACAAGGTGCTGGCCTT